AGAGGAACCCAAACAAGAGGAACCAAGACACCTCATAATTAAAATGCCAAGGGTTAAAGACAGACAGAATTGTAAAAGCAGCAAGAGAAAAGCAGTTACCTACAAGGGAGAACCCATACACCTGTCAGATAATTTCTGAACAAAAGCTTTTCAGGCCAGAAGATAGTATCAAAAAATAGTCAAAGTGATGAATAACAAGAACCTACAATCAAGATTACTCTTAACAGCAAAGCTCTCATTTAGAATTGAGGGTCAGATAAACAATTGCACAGACAAGAAAATGCAAAGGAGTTCATCACCACAAAATCAGTATCACATGAAATGTTGAAGGTTTTTCCTTAAGAAGAGGAAGAAGAAGAAGAGAAGGAGGAGGAGGAGGGAAGAAAAGAGAAAAAGGAAAAAGAAGAAAAGATTAAAAATATGGATAATAAAATGACAATAAATACATATCTATCAACAGTTGAATCTAAAAATCAAAATAAATGAACAAGAAATCTAATGAACAAAATAAACTGTGAATAAAATCACACCAGAGGAATAGAAACATGGGACAGACTGACAAATCTCAGAAAGAAGGGAAGATTAACCAAAGATTACCCGTGGACACAGACAGTAAGGTGGGGAAGGCCGGGAGTGGGATGGGAACCAGATGGAGGGGGGCAATGAGGGGGAAAACTTGGGACATCTGTAATACTCTCAACAATAAAGTTTTTTTTTAATGAGAAAAAAAGCCACTTTCTTACAGTAGTTCTATAATAATAATTATGCATTTAAATTATTCAAATAAGCTTGCAAGAGATTTTGCTTTACTTCATTATCTCATAGTTATATAAATATTTTGTAACTTTTTTATTTTAAACTTGACTTTTTTTCTCTAATAAAGATTCCATGGGACCTAAGCACTGGTATTTTTTAAAGATCTCTAAATAATATTTTTGAAGAAATTAGAGGCGAAGGTCACAAATCCGATTTATGAAATCACCCAGCAACAACTGGAAAATATTTTCAATGACTTGGAAAATCGGATTAGATGATGAATCATGGAAGATGATTTTAATCTTGAATCTGAGGACTATTTCTACTATAAGTAAAACATTGAAGATGATGTTTCTATACACAATTTTCAGTTTTATTTCTCCCAGAATTTAAAAAAAAAATATTTTTACTGAAGGACTTCCTAAACGATACATATTCATCTATGAACATCAAGAGAATATGAATCTACATAAAATATATAGTACAAACTTCTAAGCAGTTCCTCTTAACCTTTAAAGTCAATTCAAATTCTCTGGGTTAAAATGCAGCTTCTGACCTAATAGGTTTGCTGGGTGGAGTGTGAGAGTCTGCAGTGCTAAGATGTCCAGGTGTTGCTGCTGTTGCTTCTGGGAGCCACACTTGAATAACAAGGCTATGTCTCTTTAAGCCTTTAAAATGGGGATTAATGACTTACATCTCAAAAAAAGACATCATACCCCACCTAAAGCCACTCTCATTTAAACAACATTCTAAGTGACTGTCCTGATTTCAATATCACTCCCTTCCATTCTTATCATTAACATTATTTCCAAAGTAATCTTCTAAAATGCAACCCAGTTAGCCCAGCCCACTTGGCTCAGTGATTGAGTGTGGACTTGACTTTTTTCTCTAATAAAGATTCCATGGGACCTAAGCACTGGTATTTTTTAAAGATCTCTAAATAATATTTTTGAAGAAACTAGAGGCCAAGATCACAAATCCTTTAATTCAATTATTTCAGCACATTCTGAATAAGGTATCACATTTATTAAGAGATATGAAAGTTGCTATATTTCTTATTTGAGTGCATTCCAGCAAGATAGAGGCACTTTCAAAGTTTTTTTTTTTTTTTGAAAGAACTAATAAGCAATACAGAACAGTTCCTGCTGTGTGCTTTAGCTGTGGGAAGCAGAAACACCTACTTCCCCTGGATTCCCAGATTATTTACAGGAGTTTCACTAATGAACCCCCAGCTTGAGGCCTTATTTCCATGTTAAATCTCCTTTGAAAGGAACATTCCCTCTTCTCCTCATACTCACACCCAAATAAAAGTCCAAAATGTAATATGCTTCTTCCTGTTTAAGGACACATAAAATTGGAATCCTTCTCTAAGAACAAGGAATGAGACTGTTGAAAACCACAGATGAAACTATTTGAACATTTACGTCATGGCTGGGAAAGTAAACAACATTTTTGGAGCCACCACTGAAATGGGGATGTTTTCAAAAATAGTTTCTCATTGAGTTTTCATGGCAAGGCTCCTCCTTACTCAAAGAGGTCAAGTGTACCCAAGATTGCATAGTGAGTGACATAGCTGAAATTTCAACCTGTTTGTTTCCACATAGACTCAACCTGTTATAACATTATAATCTCTATTTTTAGAAAACTTGTTAGTCCAGGTGGAAAGAGGTTCATAAAGGTAGCTAAGGAAAGTGGTTAACCATTTAAGGTTGCTAGGTCTTTCCAGAGATATTAGCATTGTCATAGTACCAGCTTCATTGTTCAGTGACCTGTACCACCACACAGGACCCTTTGCTAAGAATGAAGCTTTACTTGGGTTAATGTTGTGCTATTGATGCATTAAAATTTCCAATAATATTTGCCCTGACCAGTGTTGCTAAATGGTTAGAGCATTGGATCTTGGAATGAAAGATCTTGGGTTCAATTTCTGGTCATGGGCAAGTATCTGGGTTGCAGGTCCAATCCTGGGTAGGAGAGGGGAAAGGGGAGCAAAGGGGGAGGCAACCAATTGATATTTCTCTTCATTTCCCCCTCCCTTCCATTCTCTCTAGGAATTAATGGGGAAAATATCCTTGAGTGAGGATTAACAAAAATAAAAGTAAATAAAATCTCAATAATTTGTAAAGGAAATATCTATATTTTCATTTTGCACTGTGTTCTATAAATAATACAGCTGGTCCTTCCGGTGAAGGATAACAAGTGAGACTAAAGCTTATAGATAAGACAAGCTTCCTTGAGGAGCCAAAAGGTGGCAAGTCTCAGTGTCAGGGTCACTGGCCATCTGGAATAGAATAAGGTTGAGTGCCATAGGCAAGAGATAAAGGCTGGCCCAATACTAGCAAGCAGTGTTACGGGAAGAAACAAGGAGATACATGCCTTAGGCCCATTTTTGCAAATAGGAAAAATGAAACTGTATATATTTTAAGAATGGGAATATGTCTACTGACACATATTGAACCCATTAGAGTGCTTGTGAGAATGGAAATGTGACAGGGAAAGAGAATGAAGGGAGCAATAATAAAATAAAGCAAGAGAATGGCCAAGCCAGAGATTTATAATGAATTTAAGAGTTTGTGTAACTCCACTCTGGGGGAACAAAGTTTTTTAAATAAATAAAGAAAGCCCTAGCTGGTTTGGCTCAGTGAATAGAGTGTCGGCCCTCTAAAGGGTCCCAGGTTCAATTCTAGTCAAGGGCATGTACTTCAGTTGCAGTCTCAATTCCTGGCCCTGATAAGGGTGAGTGTGGGAGGTAGCCAATCAATGAGTCTCTCTCACATCATCCCTTCCATTCTCTATAAAAGTCAAAATCAATGGAAAAATATCCTCGGGCCGAGACCGGTTTGGCTCAATGGATAGAGCGGCAGCTTGGGGACTGAAGGGTCCCGGGTTTGATTTCGATCAAGGGCATGTACCTTGGTTGCAGGCATATCCCCAGTTGGGGGTGTGCAAGAGGCAGCTGATCAATGACTCTCTCATTGATGTTTCTAACTCTCTATCTCTCTCCCTTCCTCTCTGTACACACACAGAATAAATTCTTGTATAATTAAAAAAAAATTCCTAGAGACATTTTTAATGAACTTAAAAAAATCATCAGTCATAAGTCGTTGTAATTGCATCTTTTATCAGTTAAACAAATATTCAAAGCAAATACTTTGAATGCCTCTGGGTACTGCGGTGTTCAAAGAGAAGCAAAAACAAACAAAGGCATCATGATTCTCATAAGGAAACTTCAGTCCAGATCAATGCAGTCTACTGCCTTTCCTGCCCCACCCAAATCCCATCCTCCCAAACATGTAATATTTATTTGGTTTGTCTTCCTTATTCTCAACCATTGGCTAGAAGTATAGCCCATTGTTTTCCAGAGCTTCTTGACTGGGCTGTACTGACAGCTACCAGCCACCCAACAAATTGATAATAGAAAGTTCCCTATGCCTGATATTGAATCAAGTATTTACCGTTCCCATTCAGTCTACTACAAATAGACTTTTGTTTTCCTGCAGATCAAAATGGAGCACCTGTAAAGAACTCTGGAAAGTATTCATAAACCCCATATGCACACAGGCGTCCGTTTCCAAACCAGACAATGCAGAGGGAGCACCGTTCTGTAGTTGCTCTGCCCCTCCTGCCTCAGCACTTCATGGTTCCATTTTGCACATTCAAACACCTGCAAGTGGTTGCCCAGCTGGTAGCCATTAATTTGTGCAAAACCAAGAAATGTGAAGCAAATTAAGGGATTGGGGAAATATAAATGGAAACAGCAAGTAAACTGTATCTAAAAATCATACTTGAGACCTCAGTGTAGAAAAACATTTTTTTTTAAAGAAAGCTGGCACAGTAGCGTGGAGTTAGGTAAGGTTTGCAATCAAATTCCAACTTTGCTACTGACAAGATATATTACACTAGTAAAGTTATCTTGCTTCTGTAAGCCTCTGCTTTTAGTTTGTTTTGATCTGTAAAATGAGAAAAAATAATACCTACTCCTTAGGGGGTTTGTGATAATTTAGATAATGCATCTCTTACACTCAATGCAGTGTCTGACACATAGTAATTATTTTGAAAAGATAGTTTTGCTGTAGAAGCTGTTGTTTTGTTCATTATTATTTTAAAAGAACAGTCAGTGGGCAGAGGTATTAGTGAATGCTATCAGAATCTTTCCTATTTAAATAGTGGGCTATTCAAAGAGAGTTTTCAGTGCCTCTCTAAATTACTTGCATGTTTCAATTAATTTTTAATGTATCTCTTACCTTTGCTTTTATTTTTAGTTCCTCATGCTTACGGATTAGCTCCTCGTTTTCTGAAAGTGATGAACCGAGACTTTGTTCCCGTAAATCTCTTATGGTTTTCTGAAACCAACAAGTAACCTAAGTAAAAAGCAACAGGGATCAATTTTCAAATGATTAGAATACTGAGTAAAAATTAAAAAATATTTCCTTAACCTTTCAAAACATAAGCTACATCAATTTCTCTTTGGATAAACTCATCTCATGTATTAAATAATTATGGTGGGTTTTTTATGTTTTCTTCACTCAACTTCTACATTCTTCAGAGAGAAAAAATAAAGTAATCCCTGAAAAGCATAAAAATAATATATCAGTCCAGATTACACAGCATGAAGAAAATTATTCAAAATCTCCTAACAAAGAAGAACCAAAATAGATTCCCTCACAATCTCTGAATCATGCATGCTTCTAGAATATAAATCCCCTTTCCTGGATAAGAATATGAATCTGAATACAGTTACATAGACCCACACGAAGATAATTAACAGCATAACAGCATATGCAGAATTATATTTCTACTATAAAAAGACAAGGCAAAAATATTGTTTGGTGCAGTTGCTGAAAATATGTGTTCAGAAAATAAAGAAAGAAATTATTAAAACTCTGTTGACATTATAAATGGGGCATAACTCAGATTCACTTAGATTTGATTAACAATACATACCTTACACTGTTAAAACAACAAATAGCAAAGGACTTGAAAGAAGAAGTACATTTTTAAATGATGACTTAAGTTGGCATTGAATTGATAACATGAAGTATCTGGCTGCATATTATTTATCCAAATGAAAGGAAAGATACTTGGATTTTTACTCTCAAACCCTATGCAGTGTGGTTGCATGATCACATCATTGCTACTGATTTCTAAGAGCCCCCTACATGCTAGACAGTTTGCTACAATAGTTGCTTTTTGGACATCATCTCTATTTCCCTCAACAACACTATAACAAGCATGATATCATCATTTTAGAGATGAGGAGAGCTTAAGCAGCTTATCCAGGACCACATAGTAGGTGACAGAACCAGGATTCATCCCCAAGCCTTCATTATTTAAAAGTTCATGTTCTTTCCACTATGCCCTGATGCCATCCTTGGCCAAGCTAAAGTCTTATAACCATGGGTATAAGTGGGAATTACTTCAAACCTGAAAAATTAATCCTGACAGTCCATTCAAAATGGTGGACACTACACTATGCTTTGCTCTAGCCTAGGCTGTCTTGTCTACAGCAGCCTCGGGATTTATTTTATCTCTTATAATATGGACAAATGTTTGAAGCAGGTGGCCAAGGAGAAAACTAGGTTAGCCATGGAGCTCCACACAATATGTACACACACACACACCCACACACACACACACGCACACCACAGAAGTTGAGTTAGTGGTTACCTAGAATAGGACATTCCATTACCATTACAGGGCTGATACCACAAAGCTGATTATGAAATCAAAAGGTCTATACTAATGCCTGGCATTTCTCAGCATGGAATAGGCAGTAAAATATGGGATAAGAGGGCTTCTCTGGCTACCTTCTAATTGGAAACCTTTGTTAGCCATCATTTTAGGCTGCCATCGATGCAAAAAAAAGAATAATGGTGATACTGTACAGTTTTCATGTGAAATGCACCTCATTTTCTTCATAATATTTGGTAAGCTGTATATAATACAAACATTCATCAGCTCTCATATCTAAAACATAATGTTTATGTATTACAACTATCTGAAGATAGTCTGCCTTTCTGGTATCCCAATTAGAAATAGATACTATGTATAGTGTGCACATTAGAACACACAGAGTACTTTATCAAGAGCTATAACATTTATTCATTTATTTAATTTTATACAAATAATTTCTCACAAATGTGCAGTGAGCCCATATAAAAATACAACTAGAGAAATGATTTAAAGGTTTCATCAAAGAAAAATGAATCATGACTATAACCAACTTTCAGAGATCATTTAATGAATTAAGTATTGGGAGTAAGTTTTATTTATTCTTAGCTCAGGGGAGAAGAACTCTGAAATCTCAAGAATGCTTCAATAGAGAAAGTTAATATAGAATCTGAGTGAATAAAAGTGGGTACAAACAGGTGTTTGTTAATCTCTAAAAACAGGTGAGAAGCCTGAACCCTCAGTAAACCTATTTAATTTTGTGAGTCAAAGACTTGTCATCTAGCACATGTCAGTGACGATGAAAGCAAGAAAGGAATGAGTTGTTTGATTTTTAAAAGGTATCTACTGACCTCATCCCTACATTTGGCAAATACTATTTCAACCCCCAAACAATACTATTCCTGTATGACCGTACTGTTCCCTACAAGTGAATGCAGTTAAAGGCCTGTGGTGATAGTCCATATATCCTGATCACATACCTGCCTGATGAAGCAAACTGACTCTCTAGATCTACACATTTTTACTACTGAATGCACTCTGAGGAGAGACGTAAAAACAAGTTGGCATAAAACTCAGAAATAAGTAGTTCGCTGTGTGGGTGTTACAGCTCAGTGAGGCATTCACACACATGTGCAGCCTCTTAGATTAGATTTACTATGTGTGCCTTGGGACACATGCAGAACAGGCTCTCAAAGTTCTTCTTGTAAAAGCACAACACCCTAAATAACTAAGAGCTTGTCAACCGTAATATTCTGCCACCCCGTAAATCAGTCATGGTGCCCTGCGCGTACCTACTGCAGACAGCTGCACAGATATTCCAAGAGCGCTTTTTATAAGGGTGTAAATTATATCAGCTGCTGAGTGGTAAGTACAATAAGTGATGCACCAGGACATTCTATAGAACATGGTCCCTACAAAGGATAAAAACATGTGGAAAGAAAAGAACAAAAGGCATTCAGAGTATGCACTAGAAATCAGTTCAAGGGAATGATAGTTTAAGGAGGAAGTAAGAACATTTTTTCTCTCTCTTCAGTTCCCACCTTTTAGCAGTGTTCATGGTCATTCCACTGGTTTGACATGACATGCTAGATCCTCAGTGCCCAGAGCAGATAGAACTAAGATAGAGAAGGAGTGGGACAGATCTTTTTTACAGGGGAAGGGGACCACCTATCTGAGAATGAAGGAAGACAGAAGAAAGGAAAGGAAAATCAGCAAAGATGCAAAGAAGAAGCAATCAGAGATGTTCAATGAAAACCAAGATCTTTCTTGGATATTAAAGAGGGTGCCAGAAAAACTCATTCAAATGGTGTAGACCTGCACTGTCCTATGTGGTAGGCAATAAGCACATAAGGCTATTGAGTGCTTGGAATGTGACTAGTCCAATTTGGGATGTACTCTAAGTATAAAATACACAGCAGATTTCATAGTCATAGTTTTAAAAATTAATAAACATATCTCATTAAGAACATTCATATTGATTAAATGTTGAAATAGTATTTTGGATATGTTGTATTAAACACAGTATGTTATTGCTTTTCTTGTTTTTATGAGTCTTTTAAACTTTTTAATGTTTCTTTTTTACTTTTTTAATGTGGCTACTATAACTTTTGTTTTTATTTTATTTTTTTGTTAATCCTCACCCAAGAATATTTTCCCATTGATTTTTAGAGAGAGTGAAGAGAGGGACATTTATGTGAGAGAGACACAACCATTGGTTGCCTCTTGCACATGCCATGACTGGGGCCAGGGTCGGAGCCTGCAATTGAAGTATGTGTCCTTAACTGGAATTGAACCTGCTACCCTTCAGTCTGCAGGCTGATGCTCCATCAACTGAGTCCAGCCAGCTAAGACATGGCTAATACAACTTTTAAAATCACATATGTGGTCCTGAGCCAGGTGGTTCAGTTGGTTGGAACATTGTCCAATACACCAAAAGATTGCGGGTTATATTCCCAGTCAGGTACTTACATAGGTTGAGGGTTTAATCCCTAGTTGGGCATGTATAGGAGGCAGTTTATAGATGTTTCTCTTTCACATCAATGTTTCGCTCTCTCTCTCTCTCTCTCTCTCTCTCTCTCTCTCTCTTTTCCACTCTCTATAAAAAAAATCAATTTAAAAAAACATATCCTGAGGTGAGGATTTAAAGATAAATTAAATAAATAGATAAATAAATAAATAAATAAAATCACATACATTGTCTGCATTATATTTTTATCAGATGGTTCTACAACTCAAGGATTTTGAGACGATCCTTATTTGTAGATATAAAAACTGAGTTTTAATTAGAGGCTGTTTAAAATAGTGAAATCAGGAAAATAGTGGGATGAAGCATTGGTTGGTAAGCATGTATGGACCACTGGGTAGGGGTACTGAAGTTCAGCTAATAACTTTTCCAAAGAAGTTTACTGGCTGAGCAAAGGAAGGATCAGGTGATAGCTTTCAGAAAAGCAGGGGAACCAATGAGGCTTCTCCCACCTTTTTAAAAAAATTTTGAATAGATGAGACATAAGCATTTTTTAAAAAATATTTTATTGATTTTGTACAGAGAAGAAGGAAGAGAGATAGAGAGCTAGAAACATCGATGAGAGAGTCATCGATCAGCTGCCTCTTGCACATCCCCTACTGGGGATATGCCCGCAACCAAGGTACATGCCCTTGACCAGAATCGAACCCGGGTCCCTTTAGTCCCCAAGCCGACGCTCTATCCATTGAGCCAAACCGTTATCGGCGAGACATAGGCATTTTTTTGCAGGAACTGAAGATGCATGAAGGAGGATTAATGTAGGAATGTACCAGAATGGGAAGATTGGAAATGAGCGCTACTGAAGGTAGCTTTGGGCCAGGAAAGACTAGTCTTTGCTTGTTGAATACCCATCCCTACATTGACCCCCCAGCTGGGAGATAAGAATAAAGAAAGTAAAATAAATGAACCCTACCTTCACAGAGAGGTGTCAGGTACTACTCTAGGCAGGTTACAAGTGACCTTATCTAACCTTTGTACCCCTCCTATGATGAAGATATTTACTTTTGTAATAGATGAGGAAACTGAGACACATACAGGTTAAGCAACTCACTTAAGGTTACACAACCAATAAGAAGAAAGTCTCACAGCTGAACACAGAAATGCCAGAGTCAGAATGTAAGGAGAACCAAACGGTGCCAGAAAAGAGAAATGGTTCTTACAAGGCTA